CATTTTTTCTAATCATTATAGGCACTTAAACACCTTTATCCCCAGGGAGAACTATCCCTCAAGACTTTACCTTACTCCACCAAGGAATCCACTAAGGAACATATCTCTCAAGAAACTTCTATTGTATAGAGACATAGCCGAACACAAAACAAGCGCGTGAAACCAGTAATACTAAGAGTGGATTAATGACTGTAGTTGGCAAAAACAAGCCGCGAACACGCCAATGAATACGCAAAACAAGAGTAAATGACATACGACAGCCAACTGAAAACCCCTCTAGGTATACATGCAAACACGGAGTAAACTAGTGTTGTGAAACGCAAGTAGAAGGAGCTAACTTAAGCGAGCCCAGGAAAACCGAACACGTGTAAATGAACAAAATGCTAAGATTCTAAACGATAGGAAAACACGGCTGGTGAGCGAGCTAACAAACACGAAGTGAAATGGCTAATATTAACTTAGATATTGACCTTGCCTGGTTCATTTCTAGCCAAACTGTTGGCAGGAAAGTCGTTCCCTCCTTGTGCTGCTACTAAGGAAGCGCTGGAACCGGAGCTGAAACTCTTAAAGCGGCAACTGGTACATTCCCTCAGGAGCCGGAACATTCGCTGCAGCCGGCACATCGAGCAGAACAGGAGGTGCTTGAACAACATTGACTGCCTCTAGAATTCGAGTCGGCGATGAAGGCACCGGAATTTGGTCGGCCATGTCGAGGAACGCGGTTTTGGAGTAGAACATTTGCTAGGCTTTACGACGGCAACGACAGGCTGGAGTAGAGTGTCAGGGGTGGACACAAAGCAATCCCTTTATTGTCATGATTTACATATCCCAAGGGCATTTTATTCATAAATGCAAATGAATGTTTAGGATTAGGCCACTGATAGGCAATGTAAGTCACAACCTCATTCCCAGGGTTCTCTCCTACCCGCCCTACGGAGCGAGAGAGAGAGAGAGACCCTGGAAAACGCTGGTCACGTGGCTCCAAAGCAAAATTATTTCTGAGGGAGGAGTCCTTTGTCTCACATTTTTTTGTCTGGTTTTTTTGCGACGTAGTGATCGCAACAGCAAGATAGATTTGCTAACCCTACTAAAACTACAACTGAAACTAAAGGAAATTTCTGCCTAAACAAAATTATCAGATAAACAAGTTAATTACCAGAGAACGAATCAAAAACTAGCGTTGTCGCCGGTTTAACCGATGACAACAATCGCTAAAATTCTACGATCTTGAGTTATACCGAGCGAGTTAATTTTTTGAAGGTAAAATCCCTGTATGTTGAACTTCTATATAAAAAGTTTCAATGTTTGTCTCACAGCGGCTGGTAATCGGGCCAAATGAACCACAGGTAGGCCAAGCTCGAAATATGAGCATCGGCGAGCATCGGCATTGTTGCGTAACATTCAAAATATAAGGATTTGTATGGGAAAAAAACCTATCGTTTCTGTAACCTACGAAAATGAAAGGATTTCAATAAAAAAACAGCTTACCTTACTTAAAATGTCTGTTACATCTCTCCTGTGTGGTCCACGGGCCGATTTATGGCCGTTTTATGGGTTTTTATGTAAACGGTTTTCTCTCTATATAAAGGTTTTTATTCATTCCTCTGATTGTTCCTGCTAGTTGGTCATAAAAATAATGTCTTTTTTTTTCTTGACAACAAAGACAGTTTATGTCACTTGATCAATCCACATTCTCCTTTGGAAAATATCCTTGATAACGTGGCCTAACTCACAGAGGTTCATTGTGACACTTAGCAGTGACTTAGATAATCAAATCAAGTGCTGAAAGCTAACAGTTACATTAATCATTGAAGTTTTTCGTTATTCGGCCCGTGAATTATTTATGTATGATGTAATGTAGAAAAACGATAAGTAACAAACGAAAGTAGGGAGAAAGAAGATGTCACTGTTAAAATCCGAAAAAGTTGACTTGTAACCACCCGACGGGTACTATGTAGGCAGGCAATTTTACCAAACGAAAATTTTGGTTTTGGTTCCTTATATGAGCACGAGTTTCAAAATAAGCAGCTCCAAAAAGCCAGTTTCTTAGCCAAAGTAAAGAGATATCGATTCCAAATAAATCTGTTAATTTTCTCATCTCCAATTCCTAAGAAAAACTTTAAATAATAATCAATATTTTTTATTTAAAATGTAAAGACTGCTTTATACATAAGTAACACTGGACAAGATAATTAAACAAGTTTCACCTTCTTAGGCAATGTACACACGAATCGAATTCCGAAAATTTTAAAACCGGTTATTTATTCGGATTTGGGTGGAAAACCGCTCTGGATTGAAACACTGTGCATGATTTACCGCAGAGTTACTGTAAGAATGGCATTGACTGTCTTATATATTAAATCTTGGAAAATATGAATATAAAAGTTGAAGAGAACTTTTCGCAGTGCATGGAACACTGCTACAAAAAAACGGACATGCGTAGTAGTGGACCCCAAACATCAAATAGACGCCCCGATAGGCGATATTGAGAAAGATGAAT